GAGGAAGTCATCCGCAAAGAGAAGTCCTTCTACAAATTCGTCGTGGGTGACTTCAACGCGAAGATCGGGAAGTCAGAAGAAGGGGAGCATAGTATCATAATCTCCTACAAAAATTTCGGAAGTTAAAATGCAAAAAGTAGGTACTGTCATTTTCAGCCCTGCTGCGTAATTCCCAAATTTATGGACTTTCTCGCTTGGTCTAGCTCAGAAACTGTTGTAATATTTATTAGCTAAAAAATATAATCCATTTGATTACAATTTCGTTTGAAAAGAAGCCATATATCCCAGTTTTTCGCTGTATTTGAATTTGTGCTCGTCCTTGTATCGAGACAGCATTATGTAATCAGTTTTCAGATAGATTTGTTCTTTTTTCCTAAATTCAAAAGAAAAGGACTTGAAAAATTTCGCAACATGCTGTCTAGATTCTTCCCATGATAACTGGTACTCTATCCTATTCGGTTTGAAAATAATTGAAATAAGATGTCAAGTGGGCAATGGAAGCTCAGCTGCGGCTACTTTTAAATCCGAAAAGTTCGGAATTGCTTGCTACCTGAAAGGCTTGATTATAAAAAAACCCTATCCCGCATGATAAGACTCTAGTGCAAGATGACGATAGTTGCACGATGGATGGGAAATTGCAGATTTACATAAAAGGTGATTAACTGGGATTAACTGATATCCTGATCGGCAAAATCATTTGCACTCCGCACGAAAGCGACATAGTAGGACTAACGTAAGTAGAATGGAAGATTAGCATCCCCATCCGTCTTAAAAGAGGGATTCGGATGAGTTTATCTTTACAAGCAAAATGACAGTCTGCTCAAATCTATATGAAGTTTTGAAACTTGCGAACTAAACTCTGTCAACTTGTTAATGTGCTCTGCAAATTCTTGATACAGCAGTTTTCAACAATAATGCTAAACCTCAAATACATAAACACTGTCAGCTTATAGCTTCTGCAGTTGATTTATTATCTGGTCCTCTACTTCACGTAGGTGATGAAAGTGTTAACGGAGTGACAAAAAGAGTCAGGATAGGCTTTCAACTCGTCCCAAACTTATCTAAAAGTCATTGCTAGATTGCATTTCCATACTTCCAGTTATCTTTAGGTAATCTATTTAAACAGAGATGGATACAAAGAACATGCAGTGATAATTAAAACTTCACATTCTATATTTCAAAAAACAAAAAAAAGTCCATAAGTTTATCCACAATAAAAAAAAGTTCACAAATAAAAAGCGTTCCAGAGGTACCGCAGCAGGGTCTTCCTACAATAAGTTTCGTTCCTCCTTCGCAAAAATAGTTTCCAAATTGAGAATTCCTATGTTGAAAACACGTCTCGGAAGTCCTCCGGGTGAAATATACGAACTTGGAATGCGGAACTTCACTTTTCGCTGGCCAGGCTAGGCATTTTGCACATACATGACAAGAAATAAAGAAGGGCAGTGATAATTGTTTACCTTGTTACCATCGTCACAATCATGGTAAATTTTCAATACCGGATCAATATTGGTTGCTTCAATTTCCGACCCCTAGAGAGGAATGTTTTTGAGTGTTAAAACGGTCAAAGGCTTTGAAAAGTTCAGTCAAGGATATGCTTTGCATTTTGATAAAGACTACTTTCGTATAGATGACAAGATGCTCAAAATTGTGTAATTTTTGGAAATTGTTCATTCACCTATTTGATGTTGAAGATTTTCCACATAGTTTTAATATTACGTAATGACTCAAAATGTCCTTCTTTATAAAACAAACCTTCAGGTTAAAATTTCCATTGGCATCTGTGTAGCCCTGATCGAGAAGGTCATCTGGATCTGGACCTAAAACAGAGGATTTGAATTCCAATGCCGTCCCCGGTTACGAGGTCAAGGATTTCTTTTAGCAGTAAAAAATAGCCACTTATGTGCTCTATCACTTCAGCCCTACCATGCAAGCATGAGCAAGCTACACTTTGCTGAATCACAGCTAACAAAGTGCACTCTGCAACAGCGAAAATCTCGTACCATCATCTTCATCCCACAGCTTGACCGTCACGCCCGATGCTGGCTTTTTTCCACACATTAGGCGTCCCGTAACACCCACACATTGCTGACGGGTCGCAAGACAAACGACGAAAGAACTTATTAGATACACTATATATTGCATCCGAACTGAAATGATCTAAATTTGTTTCAAATACAGTCAATCAAACTCTTTTGTACACTGCTAATTTTAATATTTCTACAACATAAACGATATGAAAATAACAAAAAGGATTTTCTAACAGCGTAAGTGGATTGCATGTTCCTAATTAGAAGAGTGGCTAAAACGAAAAGGTTTTTCGAAGTTTTGGAAATTCTATTTA